ACTTAACCAAGGTCGGTCCTCCCTTTTGGTGCCAATTAACCAAATGCAGGTGCAGAGTGACTCAGCTTGTTTTCCCACAGAAAGCCACAAAAAGTGGTAGAAGGTAGTGGAGTTTTAAACAGACAGCCGTGTTCAGCTGGATCTAGTGAAGGGAATTGCTGAGCTATTGTTATTTCAACTATTTTTATTTAGTGAAATTACGCTTCTATAAAGTTTTAGTCCTGCTCACAAAACTCATCTTGTGAAATTACTTTCTGTCATTAGAAATTCTTCACTTTGGCCCAGTACCTTTAAATCTCCTTTCTGGAGTTACTACCTCAAAAACCCTAGAACTCAGTAGTACCTTTCTAGTTTAGTTTGGCTTTGAATTTTCGAATTAGAACTGGCTTTCTGTTGTTTGTACAATAAACGAAATCTTAACTTTGGTTACAATTTTAGGATATTGAGAAGCCAATGTGGTAAATGTATTCCTGTTTATATTGTGTAGCATAAGCTTAGAAAGTTTTAGTTTACTGACTCTTTTGAAACTCAAGTATTTGTACCAAATAAATGAATCTGATAGTTGAAGCCTCAGAAATCTCTCAACAAGTGAGTGACAGGCAGAGATGGCTACTGGAGTTTGTGAAGAAATCATAATGAAAGGAAAGGTATTTGCTTGTGCCACTCATGGAATTACTTGAGGCATCATGTCAGTTTGTATATTTTCATTTATGGGTGACTAGTATATAGGACTTGATTGGTCAGAGTAATCTGAAAAAGATTGATTCTGCCAGCAGTGTTGATCATCCAGTGAATATAAATAATTATGTTTGCATGTGAGATTTCAGTTAGGCATGTTTGAAATCTGGGTGCTGGGTAAAATGGAGCTCTTCTATTTTTAGCACAATAAACAGTTTCCTGACCCTGCAATTGAATGAAATTACCTTTTACTGAAATATATTTATTTGATATCTACTTTGTACGTCTGTATTTGCCTGATGTTGTAAAGTTCTGTGAAACTACTTGTGGAATTTTCATTTAATTTTGTAGGTAGATGTAACATAAGCACGTGAACCTTGTGTGAACTGAAGGAATGTTTGGAAAGTGTCTGGAGGTAACTGTGAAGAAAATGACGTATGTTTTGTTTTATGTAGGATATTGGACAACAAGAAAACCTTGATGCCAAAATATCTAGTTTAAGTGATGAAGTTTCAACAATTAAACGAGAGATGGCTCAGATAAACAATGAAGAGCTGCTTCCCCTCCTGAAAGAGAAAGCACAAGTTTTGACTGTGCCAGTGCTGAAAGCACACTTGGATCATCAGATTGCTCAGCAGGATTGTTGTGCTGCAAGGCAAGATGAAATATGCAGGCACTTGATGAGACAGAAAACATCGTTTGAACTTATTGAGCTGGGCTGTAAAATGGAGATGAAGAAACACCAGGAGATCAGCTGTCAGCTTGAGAATCTGGTAGAATCTCTGAAGAAGAGCACTGATGAGTTGCAGCAGAGACTACAGGTGATAACTGAGCGAATTCAACCTGCAAAGCCAAAAACCACTATTAGTCCTGAGGATGGTTTCTCTTGCAGGTAAGTGTTATGTTGAACTTTGACTTGCTTTGAAATAATATCTGGGAGAAGGTGGCTTAGGCAAGCTAAGCCTTTCCTGTGGGGAAGTTCTTAGGTACTTGCTGTAGCTAATTAGAATTTTGAATTCTCAAGAACTGAAGTCTTCAAGATATGAAACCTGCTTCTTCCTTGTCCTTTGAAATTCTTTACACATTTGCCTGAGGAAAACCTTTTCAATTTTCAGTCTTTTTAATAGTGTTGAAGTATTCCTAAGCAATATCCAGAAAATAATGGATGTTCAAAGCCAAACCTGTCTTATATGGGGATCTAGGACCTCCTGAAAGCTACTCTAGAAGGATAGGCATTAATAACAGTAATTTCTCAGTTTGATGTGTGGCCTCATCAGCTGAGCTGGCAAAAACCTGTGTGCTGTAGGAGAGAGGAATGACTCCTTCAGTCCATGAAATGTGTTCAGCTCATTTTTACTGCTTGATTTCCACCTGGTTTGAGTGTCCTGTCACCCATGCAGGAGTCTGGTTTTTCACTGTCTAAGTAGTTAAGTCTCCCTGTAGCTCAGGTGATACAGTCAGAGATGTATGCTGGGCTGCTGTTCTGTCAAGACAAGACCTTTTGATGAGGTGTATTGTATAATTACAGGTGTGTTACTGTCAGACTTTCCCTCCTTTAGAATGGAGCTTCAGGTGTTGGGTTTTTTTAATAATTGCTAAGTGATAGCAGAGTATGGTTTGATGTAGTGAATAACTGCACTAATGAGGCAGCATTAATTTTGCTCCCATTGTGTGTTTGCATTGTCAACTTGTAACATTTTTATTCAGGTTTATTATAAAGTCTCCAAGTCACTGAATGTTGTCTGGCTACTTTTTCCACTTTTTTTTTTGTTTGTTTTTGAAAAGGGAAGGGAGGTTGAAAGAGTTAAAAACTTTAAAGGGTTTGTAAGCAGAAGACACTCAAAAGAAACTCAGTTACTTTTGAAATATAGCTCCTGTGCTTACTAAAGCCAATCTGATTTTATATTAGGGCTCAGCTCCTGAAGATCTTATTATGCAGAGATGGTAGTAACACTTGAGCAAAGTTATCTGTGATCATACTGGCCTATTCCTGATGCAGTGTAAGAGCACAGTTTGGTATAACATGTAACACTGTCTTTTGCATGACTTGTGACTAGCTGGAGAATTTCTCTTCATAGGAAACAGGAAATACTCCAGTAAGCTTGAAAATGTTACAAAGATTGCTTTTATTTTTATTAGCCACTGAAGTCAGCTTTTTTTCAGCACTTCAAAAAAAAAAGTATCTTATTTTGCAGTTCTTGGAGTGTCGGGAAATAGTTGGCAAAAGCACACTGTCACCTTCTGTTTGCATTCATTTTGTACTTACTAACTATTACTTTGACATTTCATCGCTGCTAATTTAATATTGCAATATTTTGGATTCCTATTAATCACTAGCTATATATAGATAGAATCATGAAATCAGTGGGAGATACAGCAGTGTAATAAGAGAGCCCTGAGCAATACTGCCTTTTACTAGTCCTCTGAATTCTCAGCATGGACATCTTCTCTTGACTAATGATGGTAGAGTGCTTAGGAAACTTAGAAATGCTTGTGTGTCTTACTTCACTTGTTACAGGCTATATGAGCTCCTGGAAGGAGGAAATGAAAAACAGCAGTTATTTAAAACATACAAAAACCTGGAGCGGATGGCTCAGAAGTTAAAGCAAGACTGTGCTATGGTACAAGGGCAGATAGCAGCGTCTTCTCAAGAGCAGTCTCTCCTCTTGTCCAGCCTAGAAAGAAATGTAGATGCCCTTCGTGGTTCTCTGTATTGTGGAGGAGATCAGCTGCAGCTCCGTAGCCCGGTGAGCCCTTACTGAGTTATTAGAATTATTACATTAATGTGTGTCATGTTCTTTTACTGACACAAATGTAGTGTGAAGGCTGTAGACACAAACTGTCCCCACTTGTCAGCAACAAATTTATTAGCATAATGATGATGGACTCTCTATTTACTTGTTCTTGGCAAATGTTGGATTTTTGTAAGTGCTGGCAGGTAATAATTTTTTGTGTCTGAGCAAATTGTTGCATCTAACTTAATTTCTTTCACAGGCATGTGCAGTCCAGTCAGTTTGTGGTGTGGGAAATACATTGTCTGGATAGGGTGTCATTGGAAAGCTCATTTAAATTTCTCTTTATTTCAGATGGGCTTTTTTCTCCCCTGTTACCTGTAACACCCCAGTGGTGTGGTTTGGCCCCTTAAAAAACCTGACTCATTTGGACAAAATAAGAATAACAGAATTTTGAAGGACAGTTGTAGTAGGACAATCCTGCTACACAGCTCTCAGGCATTGGGTTTAGAACATCTTTTAAATGGGAATAGGGTTTGTTAAATGCTGCTTGTTATGGCTTTTAAATCATTGTAGATACTTCAAAAATGCATTGAGGGAAATCTCCTGTTATGTAATACTTCCTTGGTTAATTACATAAAAATAAATTTAACTTTCATCTGTCAAGTGAATTCACAACATATAGAACAGTTTTTATTAAAAAATGGAACTGTAATTGGAACAGTACATATGTAGGGACTATACATTATTAAATCAAATGCCTGTCTATTGATTTAAATTACCTCTTAAAACATAGTGACATCTCCTTCTACTGCTACTGTTTCTCAAGGAAAGTATTCTTTTAATAAGGAAATAAAGTGTAAGTAGGTGACTAGTCTGCTTATACTGAACTATCATAAGAATGCCAGCTGGGAAAATTGTAGCTGGTAATTAATGATTTCATTTTAAAATTGATTTGGCTTTTTTGTTGTGGTCTCTTTTTCCCTTTTAAGATTTGACTAGCAATGATGACTTTTAATTGATTGAAAATGTCATTCACTCATCTGTCTAGGTCAGGTTTTATGGTCTTAACTCATCTGGTCGACAAGTAAATGAAATTACATCTTCATAACCTGATGTGAATTCTGTTACATGAAGCTCAAAAATTGAATGGAATCCCTTACCACCTTTGTTTCTATTTTTTTGTGATTACTTTTCAATTACAAATAAAAGTGGCTTCCCAAAGCAAAAAAAACACTTTTGTATTTCTAGTTCAGCTAATGTATTAATAGTATAAAAATATTGATTTTTTGTCTTGTTTTTTTTGTTAGGAACTTACTGAGCTGTTTCATCAACTGGAAGTTAATGTAAATAAACTAACGCAACTCCTCAAGGATCTGAGTGCTGATCTGAAGTTGAAGAGAAGCATTCTAGAGTCCAATAAGCTGCAACAGATGGAAAGAGAGTTGTATGTGTATTTTTTCAAAGATGAAGATCACTTGAAAGAGATGGTAGAGAAACTTGAGCAGCAGTCTCAGGCTAAAGCCAGTGGTCTGGAAGATGAGAATTTCACAGCCCATGGAGTTCCTAATGTCTAAACTTCAATGTACTCCTAAGAAAGGAAGAAGTCAGTGTAAACTGTCTACGAGTTTGTGGAATAATAAACATTAGCTCGTCCAGGCTGACATTACCTGTCACTGCAGTGTGTTTGTTACCACTGGATTGGGTGCTGCTTGGCTTTGGCATCTGCCTGCTAAATTCAATCTCAGTTTTGTCAAAGCTCTTGGATACAAAGTACTGCATTGTTTAATTGAAAGAATTATGTCCAGGCTGCCCTTCTCCTGGCCTGTAGGTTCATTTGTGCTGCACACAGCGTAGCACCAAAAGGAACATTTCATACCCTTAAGTTTTCTTGCATGCTGAGAACCTTTGATTGTGAAGCACAAAATAAATGTGGAGGAAGCATTCCAGATTTTGGAACATGAGTGTAATGTGCTCATAGTGAAGAGGAGAGTTCTCCAAGGCAGATATTCCATGATTGTTTCCCTTACAGTTCTCCTAAGAAGATTTGATTGTCTTAAAAATGTGTTGGAATATGTATCAGAATCTGTTTTAAAAACCAAGACCATCTGTTTTAAGACCATTCCAGCATCTCTTAATTTAACTTACGGCCTGTCTTCTCCACTGAAACCAGTCCATACTTATACTGGGCTTGTCAAAGAAGAAGAATTTTAAATTTGTCTTTTGGACATCTGAGTTTGCTCTGTAATTTATAATGATAGGCATTTCAATTCAGAGTGCTGATACTTTCATACTGCTGCTTTCATGTGCATTGTTAGCCTGTTTATCAGATTTTTGTATAGCTTCCTAATATACCAATGGAACTAAATAGGATTTTATAGTATGATAACTTCCAGTCTTTTATATTTTGATGGGATCAGCTGTGTTTGCTTTCAAGCATTGTACATATTGATGAAGGTTAGTATATCAGCTTTAATTTCAGTAACAGTAGTCTTTAAACTGTTTTGATGGCAGACTATTAACTTTTATGTGAGCATAACTTATTTTGAGATGTTTAATTTTTTTAGCTTACTGGTTGAGTGTCTTTATGTCTGGATTTCATGCTGCTAAACTCTGTACTTTGTATTTATTATGAAATACCAAACTCTATAAATTCAGTTCAGTGTGGTCAATATTTATGGTGAATCTGTGTGTTGGTTTTAGGCCTGTTCTCAGGCGTAGTGTCTTGTTTATATTTAGTCTGCTGGGTTCTCATTTTGATGTGCCCCTGAGGCTGTGATTGCTGCTTCCCACCCTGAGAAGTCAGGGAGCACTTTAACCCCGTGTAGGAAAGAAGTGTTGCTCTTAATTATAAAAGTTAGGAGGAGCTGTGTGTGGGGAAGGATTATATTTCTGACTCCTGGAACATCAGGGAAAAGAAAGCCATTCTGCCTCTCACTTTCCTTCACACACTTACTAATTTGAGCTAGATAGATACAGCCAGTTCTAATGCAGCAGGATGGATGTTCCTCTTTGAATCGAGATACAAATGTTTGCACTTGTAAGTGTTCAAAGCTGCAATCTGCCTGTGGTCTTGAGCTAAGAAAAATATTTCCATGCAAGCAAAGGAACTACTGTTTGCATGATGGTTAAACTTGACAGTCTACTCATGATCTGGATTTAGTGAGAAGACCAGAGTAGCAGGACTCCACTTGCTACCTTGTATAGGGATAATTTAGTAAACAGCAGTTTTTGGAGGAGTGATTGACTTGGACAGCTTGGATCCTTTAAGTGTTTTTAAAATGTTGGATGTTTCTTCTGTGTTTTTGGTAAGCTTTATGCATTCTTCTAGTCTAACTATAAAATAACAAGGCATCAGTATGGACACCATTATTTGTGATTCTCCAATGTGTGTTGTATCTAAGGATTTTCCAGGTATTTTGTATGTATTATAGAATATGGCCAGGTCAACTGGAAAAGCTACTCCTTTTCAGAAAAGGATAAAGTTTAGGACAACAGTGGTGGTCAAAGCTTGTAGAGACTGTAGATGTTCCTGACCAGTTTCTCAAACTGACAAACTGTAGTAAGTATTTTAAAGTTACTTGTATATAACAGTACTTGAGTGCCTCAATTATACAAAATTTAGGAAACAGAGGTCTTTTATGATAAGTATTTTCTGAAACAGCACATAATTAATGGTTGTATACCATGCTAGTATATGTGTGTTTCTTTCAACTTGTGTTGGCTCAGTTTTGGCAGTTACTTGACAGTTGGTTGTTTTCTTCCTAATAAAATCCAAACACCAATAAAGTAAAGGTATGCATGTGCTAGACTGGTTTAAAGATATTGAGGGGGGAAAGCATGTCAGACATACATCAAATTCTTGATTTATTTGCTAGATTTTTTTTTTTCTGGTACAAATTAGCTGTACTTAAGAGTGCTGATTTTTTTTTTATTAATGTATTAAAACACTGTTTCAAAGATACCAGTCTTTAAAAATTATTACATTTTTATTTCCAATATGTTGCTAACAGACATGTCTGGGAGGAAATATAATTTTCTATTGAGAGTGAATGGCTGAACACGTTCACTATGTTTTCAACAGAATATAAGTGAGGATGGTTTGTGGCTGTGATTAATTAATAATTTGTGTGTTCTGCATATAGGTTTAATCTTAAAAATGGAGCAGTACATGTACATAGGATGTGAGATTTCTAAAGTGCCTTTATCTGATACTGCTCAGAGGATTATGTCAGCTCTGCAGTCTATTCCTGTAGAAGTTCAGACAAACAGAGAAAATAACCAGAGTGAGTAAGTCTCAGCCTTTTAAAGTGTTTTTCAGTTGAAAAATTGAAACACAAACAAACAAAACAATATCAAACCTCTAGTCTTTATTTTTAAATGGGGAAAAAAAAAAGATGGGGTTTTAGGATTACAGGTTTAGAAAAGGAATTAAGCTGTAACTGTGACATTTTCTGGGACTTTTCTGATTAAATAATGTTATGTGAGTGCAAGGAACAGTACCCTCAATTTAATTTTTTTTTCTTTCTGTTCCTCTGTGGTGTAGAAGTAGATGAGAATTTCAAACTGTTACTTAACTAATAATCTTAAATGCAATAAATTAGATGTATACATGAACATGACTCTGGACTAGATATTTGCAGATCACTAGAGGGACTAGGAGCTCACCAGGTGACCCGTGAACTCTCCAGACTCATGTCTGTGCTTTAAACACGTGTTCATTAGCAATGCACTCCTTGTGAATTTCTAGGAGGAAGAGTGAACTTTAAAAGTCCCAGTGAAAGAGTAAATTAGGTAATGTTACAAGTGCCTCAGCAGATCTTTCTTTTGGGCAAATCTTACTCAGAACATTGTGGATGCTAGAGAGGTTTTGCAAGATGTAATTTTTTTTCTCAGTTCTCTGCATGTCATAGTCTGTCAGTCTGGTAGCTCTGGAAGGAAGTAGATAGAAAGTTAGGGTTTTGCTCAGTTTAATTGTCTGTTTTCTCCTGAGAACTAGATCCTGGAATATTATTTAAATGATGGGATTTGTTCTTATGTACATGGTGGTTTATGTATAAATCATGGTTCAGGCCCCTCTTTCAGTAGTAAAGTGTTGGATCAGTGGAGCCTGGTGGTGCAGCAGTGACAAGGGTAGGAGTTCATTGTCAGTCAGTGATACACATTTGAAGAAATAAGTTCATTTTAAAATGGTACATTGTACATGGTACATCTGGGATCAAAACCCAGATGATTTTAAACAAAATCAGATCTCTTTTCAACCTTGGTTTAATTGCCATTCTACTTCTGCTACCTTGTAATTTTCCCTGCCTTAATTTTTCTCAGTAATATTTTTCCTCTTAGACTGGGGAAGTCTCAGTACTGTGCAATAACACAGTTTTATTGTCTACTCTTGATCCATTCACTCTCTCTCAAGGTGTAAAATTGCAGATCCTTGTTTTTTTTGGAACACCATGAAGGTGTCTGGTATCTTTGACCAAATGAGCTTGTGGTCGTCTTTGTAGTGCTGCTAAATCCCTGTTTATTGGGGAGCAAAAGAACAGTGTAAGCATTTTGTAGCAGCAGGTCACATGAAAAGATTTTCTTGCTCTTGTTTTCCATGCAGTAATTACTCAACAAGTTTTGTTTAAAGTGTACAGATTTAACAGACCTATTTGAATTGCTCTTAGGAAATTGCATATCTATCTATCTATCTTTATCTATATAGCTTTAGTGTGGATCTGGAAAGAAGAAAAAGTTCACCTCTCTTAAAGACAAAACCAAACAGAAACCTGCCATGTTATTCAGTCTGTTTCAAACTGTATTGAACTGTGTTTTATTGGTAGATTTTTATATTCTACTTAATGGAAAAACTGTTTTTCTTTAAGGAGGTAAATATTGGGCTCAAATAGAACAAATCTACAATTTTGACCTAGTTGGTGAAATTCTGTGGTTATCTTGGCAGTGGAACTGTAATGTTTCCATCGAGCCTTAAGGAGCTGGAGGGCAAGGACAGGTTTCTGCTGCCATCTGGTGATACTTTGCTGTAATTCAGAAATCAGAAATGGGAAGTTGCATCTCTCTTCGATCTGTCATGCTGATTGCTGTGTGCTGGAGGAGAGAAATGTGATCCTCATCATCTTCTCTGGAGGGTGGATTTGTCAAGAAAAAGTATCTTGCTGTGAAACAATTAAAAGCACTGAATGTAAACTCAGATACTATCATTCTTAATTTATAATCTTATAGAAAGTGTCAAGAAAACCAGACTTAAAATGTTTGAAGCTACAAATACAGCTATGCCATGTTGGCTGTTCTAACAGCTCAGGTTAGAAGCCTGAGCTGGAGATAAATGGCTGATTATACACTTACACCAACATGCAATGATAAGCTTAGTTTCTTCTGGAAAAGGCTTTTTTTAGTATTTTAACTACAGGGTCTTGATTTACCTAGACAAAAATTTTTAAAACCAGTTTTAGTAAATAGAAATAGGTCACTTTATGCTTTGTTTGATGTTGGTCATCAGTATGTGAGATTCAGAAAGTGTCTTGCTGCTGGTAATGCAGATTGGTAGCTGACAACATCAGTTTATTGTTGTACTCACTGTGGGGGGACAAAATACATACTTTGCCCATGAGGTGTCTTTTGGCTGGAAGTGTCAGACCCAGCATGGGTGGCCATCCTGTATCACCTTACCTTTCTGTCAGTTTGTAGGTCTGAATTTCCCCTTGCTCTCTGTTCTTGTCTGGTCTTACAGTACCTGTTCTATTGCAGGATGAACAATGTGAAAAAGTTATCCCCTGCAGGGTTCGCTGTAGGGCACGATATGTTAAAGTCATATATGCAAATAGTGCTTTATAGAACAAAGTTATTGTGGAATAATACTGCTTAATTCCAAGAAAACAACTAAAATGTGTAATGTTTGTAGGGTTTGGTTGGGTTTTTTTTCTTCATGCCCACGCCACAAGCTTTATTTTGACTAAAATGGTTTGTGTTTTCTTGAAAGAATTCCTCTTTGTGGAATTACAGCAATGCCTCTTCTGAGCACCGTGGAAAATGTTTGTATGCTTTGTAGAGAATTTGAATTAATTTTTTCTTAATGGTGACAAAGAAGGCTTTTGCATTTGCATATTTCTGAACCTGCAGGGCCCTTTTAAGCATGAATGATATTAATTTGATAAAATGGTTGTTGAGGAAAATTTTAATACAGTTGTTTTAGGTTTGGTAAAAATGTCAGTAATAGTAGTGTATGTAACCTAAGTTATGTGCACTGCTTACAGATTCATTTGTATTGTAAATTGTTTCTTCTTTTTTAAAGGTATAGAGAAGACAAAGGAAAATAAAGTAGGTGATAAGGATGCACATCTGAGAAATGAAAAGGCAAGCATTTTGTAAGATCGAAAACCACTAAAAACAGTCTTTTTATAGCAGGTTTGAAGTTATACACTGGTTCTTCCATAAGAAGCTTTATCACAATATATTTTATACACTCATAGTTCAGGTAGCTTTTCCTGTCTTATTTTGCACTTGGCATGTATTTACTTATGAAAGTCTTGGCCCCACTTCTGTTACCCTTTCCACAGGAAGTTGTTTCTTTATGACAGAGTGATCAGAAATGAGGTTGCCGCGTTCAGGCACTTACCAGGGTTTAAAAATGTTCTCAGACTTCTGTCACTGGACAACGGTAGAACATAATCATAAAGTGAGCTGATTCAGAGGAAGTTAAATTTTGGGTTTGATCATCTCTCTCAATTTGGCTTTATGTGCCTGTGAGTGAGAGCCAGGGCAAGAGTGGGAGTGGGAAACTGCAGCAGCCCCAGCTCAGGCCCTGAGCGTAAAATCCATTGGGTGGATCGATGAGTTGCAGATGCTGCAAGTGTACTCCTGTCCCAGCTGCAAGTTTCACAGCCTTACTTACTCTGACTCTGGTGCATGTTGCACACTTCAGCAAGTCCATTCAGGCTGCTCAGGATGCAGAAAACTGATTTCTTTTGTGGGGTGGGATAACTTCCTCCAAATTGCGTTGGCTCATAGATGCTCATGCAGCTGTGGGTGCACATGGGTAGTAGTGGAACCCCTTTTTGTGATGATGGAATGCTAATTTTGACTAGCTGCATCTAGTGAAATCTTCCTACGTTGACATAAATGATGAAACTACATCCTGGGAGTTTTCTCTACTTCCAGCCACGTCATTATTTCTAAGAGGAGATCAGTTCTTTGCGGAAACTGCTGTTTCTCCCTGTGGTTAATTGTAGTACCAGCTGTATTATTCTGACTGGATAATTAAATTGCCTTGTTCTTATTTTTTAACCTTTAAAAGAGAATTGCTTATTCCTGATTTTGTAGTTACTGGAGTGTCATAATTCAAATTCTGCTGTGTTAAATGATAAAACTATTTGCAGTTTGACTGGAGAATACACTTGAGTGAATTAGTTGTCTTTCTATGGCTCTTTAGCATATTATTTTTCCACTTCTGGTAACTTTATAGTGTCCACTTTTTGATTATTATTCTCTAAGTTCATTTAATTTCTCTTCATTGAGAACAGCCACTATTCATTTTGGTAGTAGCAAAAGCTTAATTAGCTTCCTTTTTCTGTTTACTTAAAGCCTGTAGAGTTGATCCTGTGAAGTGTGATCTCAAGCAGTCTTAAGCCTTTTTCATCTTTTGACTCCATAGTTCGAAGGTTTGGGTATATGGGAACTGGGTTGAGGAATATTGCAAAACTGTAAAAAATCCCCAAACTTATTGGCTTTGTCATTCTGGCTGGTTTAATCTATCCAGTTTGGATAGAGATGGACAGTATCCTTTGATCAGTGAAAACTGTCATCTTGGGAAATGGAGGGAGCCCTGCACTGCAATAACTTGTGGTTCTTTTGAACTGAGGAAACCTTAGTTTTTGGAATGGTTATGACAGCAGAGGTATGAAGGAGACTGGGCTGGGAGAGCTGAAAATAGAGTAATTTGGAGAGGCTTCAGTTACTTTTCAATGGAGTGGGTGAATGGTAAATTTATGCATGATGCTGCAACTAAAAATGAGGAGACAACTGCTTTGTGGAACAGTTAGAAAGAACTCAGGAGAGAAATGGGGTTTTATTTCAATCTGTGTGAGATTAGGTTCAAAATCTTCCCGCTGAAAGGTGCCCTGACAGAGACTGTAATCTTTCTGAGGCATTAAAAGATAGATAAGACAGTGATGCTTAATTTCAAAAAAGGAAAATACATAAAATTGAAGGAGCTTTTTTAAAGAAAGTATATAGAATTGCCCTCCAGAATCAGAACATGTGTAGGTAACATAGGGATTTATTCAAAACAATACTGAAGATTTAAAATGAATACTGAAATCTGTGCAGGAAAAGGTAGTATGGCCAAGAGTATGAAGGACACTACTAAAAAATGTCATCATGCAAAAACATGAACTTAACAGAATTTGTATTCTTTTATACTTGCCTTGTTTGACTAAAGTAGATGAAGTATACAATAGTATAGTCCAAATAAACTTGGAGGAACAGCTTGCAAATGCATCACACATCATTTTTCCAAATACCTCAGAAGTAGAAAGCCTGCTGGCTTCTCTAAGGCCTGTTGGTGATCGAGGTGTAAAGAGTATTGAGGGAAGATACAACTTTGTGTAATCTGTAAATAGTTAAACACATTCACCTTGGGGAATCTTGAAAGGTCACTGGTTGCCATTCCAGAGTCCTTGTTTATGAAATCAAGACAGAGGATCTGTCTCAGCTGAGGCAGTTGTAGAAAGAAGTAGCAAAATAAACAGTGAGAAAGTATTAAGGCCAGTAGCATAACAAGGAAATTTATGAAGGAAATAAGGATGAAGGCTTAGAAACAAAACATTACCATGCAGCATCTTGCTTAATGCTGTTTATTAGCATGCTGCTGTAAAGGGATCCAAGGACTATCTGGAGTGGGAAAACTGCTCTGGCTCTAGTGGGTTAAACAGAATAGAATATAGTGCTTATTCATGCACCTTCCAAGTGCAGCTTTCATATGTATTTTTTTGTTGTAAATTGCTTAAAGAGATCCAGCTGACTCCTGTACTTGGATTTCCAAAGCAATCATTAAGGTTTCTTGCCAAAAGTTCTTTAACAAACTAAACTGTCATGAAAAAAAGCTCTGAATAATTGAAGCTGAAGATGAATGGTCTCTTCTCTCTCAGACACTAATAACCTCATCACTATAGAAGTCAGGACACTGGACTAAATGCAGCTTACAGTTGTTGATTTGCCATTTTTTAATGTTGGACTAAGATTAAAAAAAACCAACAGTGGTTGTGGATGTAAACAGTATATGTCCACAAAATAATCTCTACTGATAAATACTTGAATTTTGGTTATATAATGTGGTTGCCCTAAACTGACTCTGTTTTGTTAGTATCAACATTTTTTCATAGAATATTGATTTCTTCAAAGGTTATGTAAATTATCGCATTTTTTATTTATCTTCATAAGTTGAATAATTGCTTTTGCTAAAAAAAAAATTCCAATTTTCCCAGGAGGTTTGTGATTCCAGAATTGCCATTTTAAAAGCATCTGCCAGCCCTGAAAAAAGTAGTGCTGGTGAGATAGTCAGGACAGTGCATACCAATGAAATGCTTGGCTGTCAAGATACCAAAATAGTGAGCTGTTACCAGGATTCAGACTTGCCAACATGGGGATATCAAGAAAGAAATCTTTCAGTAGAAGCAAAAAAGCTGAAGGATGGGGAAAAGAAAATAGCTGTTCCTCTTAAAAGAAAGCAAAATGTGTCTACATGTTGTTCTGAGAAAACAAGAAGATTACATGCAAAGACCTACACTTCTTCACATGAAAGAAGATACAACTGTAGCTCTGGACAAAGAGAGACTTCTGAAAATTATCCCTGTGATATTAGCACTTTGGGATGTGAAGAAAAAAGAGAACTGCTTGCAACTATAGACCAGGCAGTGGCTTTTGTAACTACTATGATATTTCAAGATGGTTCTTCACAGCTCAGCTCAGAACAGGTTAGTGAAGGATTGGCTTTGTTTAGAGTCGGTTCTATAGAACTGTCTGAATGTGCATGTGACTGACAAACACAAACCTGTGCTTATAGGGAACCCCTTTTGTGTATTGGATACCAAAAGATACATGTAAAATGGGGTAAACCTTAATATTTTGACTACATTTTATTTTAAGCTACCAAGTAAAACTTAAAGGAAATGAAACCACTTGGGCTAACCAGACATTTGTGTACCTAAAGTTAAACTGAATTAGGATTTTTTTTCTACTTTTTACTGTATCTGTCACTGTGGATTTTTGTTCCAAGACTGAAACACTTGCCTGTTCCTCTACTGTGTCAATGGTGTATGCAGTAACTCCAGTGTACATAATAGGTTTCATTTTGTAAAATATTTGGGAACTATTCTTTATAGGATTACACAAGATCTGTCAGAGGAAACATTATTGTAATTACACTTAACAGGTCTCAACTTCATCAGTAAAAGGAGTTGTTGTGCTAGTGAAGAATCAGACTGATCACCCTTTCCCTCCCAGCCACTCTTCAACTGGCTGTACTTGGAAAGCTGCTGAGGAAAATGATAAATTAATTTATTTAAGAACTGAACGATCATCTCTCTGGGAACAAGAACAGGCTCACATGAAATTTTCTTGGTGAGAACATGTCGGAAAAAATACTGGTTTGCTTTACATATGCTTTTAGCAGCAGTAATGTTGGTTACATAGCACAAGCTTAATCTCCTTAACGTGTCAAGCTCATTGAGTTTCATGTTGGCTGTATTGGTTCCATGTCAAGTCTGGGCTAATTTAAACCAAATAAGAGTAGACTATTCCTTCGGCCTCAGCATATCACTTAACTGCAGCCCTGCAGAACTAGACTGATATTCTGATAGGAGCTGTTTACATTTGCCTTGGAAATCCTTTATGAACAGCTAAAGCTATATGGCACCAAGGAATGTGTTTCTTTCAGGTTTATTTTTCTTGTTTTTTATCTTCCATTTCCTCAGCTGCATTTCTTATCTAGTACTTTTTTGATGAGCATTGTTACAGTAAGCACCCTTTTTGAGCTATGCTAATATTTTTTCGTCTTTTTAGGGCAGGTTTTTTAAAGGGCTTTTGAGATCCCAAATGAAGTTTTACTAATATTCAGTAATAATGCAATATAATTTTTAGAATAAATGCTTAATGTATCTGTTTAATACTTGGACTAAATTTCAATAAAAAGTTGGATTATGTTTTAAACTTCCAGTTATTATAACCAAAATCCATTTCTATTCCTATTAACTTGGAAATTGTGTCCCATAAAGGGAGAAATGAGAACTGAATCTGATTCTTAGGTGTAATAGTTGCATGTTAAAAATTCATCAGACTGTTTTATGATTTTCAGTATTAACTGCCTAATTGTAAACTGCTGAACTGGGGTTATTAAATTACAAAGCTTTCATTTCCAAGATGTTGGACTTGATTGTTAGTCAGATCTCTGCCACTGTTCCACTGGGACTTGAAACAAGTCACTTTGCTTACCTGTGCTTCTCCAGCTGTAATGTTAGAGTTACATGACAACTAATTTAATGTCTTGTTGTCAGCTTGAATATAGGTTGTTGTGAATTGAGAATAACAGGTCAATAAAACAGGTACATATGAACAGTAGAAATAATAAGTTGAATGAATCTTACAGGTAATTATTTCTTGTAAGGATGGTGCAGTTGCTTAATAATGGATCTATACTGCATACAGTGATACCTTAGGATCTGTATGATTTCTAGTATGTCCAAACCTTTGGTATTGTGGTTTCATACCATCAAAAATGTTCTATTAAAAAATACTATTTTTCTATATTGACCAAAATGGAACTTATAAAAAAAAGATACGTGTAATTATTAAATCTACATACTGATATATATAGTTGGTAAAATCTATTTAAAATAGCATGAATGAGGGAATTATAGACATTTTGAAAAGATATGGAAATAAATGACAGAGATTAAACATTCTAGATTTAAGTAGTGTACTAACACAAGGCAGTTATGGTAATTTAAATTGCCTAGTAACTTTTAAATCAATATTTTACAATGCTAAAGTGACGACCTCTGTGATCTTATTTGGATATATTGACGGGGATGCCAGTTGCTGTTTTGGATTAAGGTTGTATTTAACTTTGAGACACAAACAAGGATTTGTTTTCTTTATGAATGCATGATAAGGCATATCTGCTAGGATGTTTAATTTCTTATGGAATGAAGCTTCAGGTATTATTAAATTGAGAATTTAATATTCAAAATGCAATATTCTGTTCTTATAGGAATAAGGAAATGTCTTGGGTTAACTGTTGAGTATTAGGTGCTAATTAAATGAATAAAGTGTATAGATTCACTAAATGTAGCAGCAGTATAGTGTGTGTTAATGAACTACTTCTGTGCAGGCAAGTGTTGTTTCAAATGCTACAGTGCAAAATTCCAATAATTTGCTTCAATGCAAAAGATTTCCTGAGGACTCTACTTCAAGTTTATGGTAATGAAATCAGCTGGAAACAAGGTAAGTATTGAATCTGCCATCTTATCCTATAATCTTGGTGATTTTGATGTCTCTGTTAAAATCCCTGGGTGTAGAAATAACTACATTGGTAGCTAAATAATGTATTGAAAACCAGTTTAGTACCATGGAGAAGAATATCCCTCTTGGGGAGGATGTGTCCAGAGGCTTGACATGTGAAGATGTTGTATTTCTTCTTAGAGCAGGAATCAAATCACTGAGTAATTTAAGGATAGCTTCCAGTGGAAACAAAAGCTCTCGACGCAGTCCTGACTATTGCTGAAAAGGTCGAACTACTTCATGTTTCATATTCCCCAGTAAAAAGCTTCCTCTGCTCAAAGGAAAGGCTAAAATAAATCCCAGAGATGCTCACAGTTGTCAGACTTAGGAATTATTTGAATGAGTACTTGTGTTCTTTTGATAGGAACAAATAAGACTTGTTTGTTGGATTTAAAAGCAACTACAAACAGAAGGCATAAGATGTTGATATAATGCCTGTTTGGTTCCACGTATCAGATTCCTGCTGAGTGAGTTACAAAAGTAAATGTGACCTTTCAGAAAGGGCTTCCTCTATGGAGTCTTGTCAGCTTGTGTTCAGCATCTGAAAAGTTTCATCAGTAAATCACAGTAAACTGAAGATGATTTAAAATCTGGTGGGAAGATCTACATAAAACAGCACTGGAAATGGGAAAGGAGGGAAGAAATGTCATGATGGTACTGCCAGTAGTGATAGTTTTATAACCTGTACACACAGGCAGTACTAGGTCTAGATTAGATACTAACTGGTGCATGGGATTTGAATCTGAAGTTTCTAATAACCAAAAGAATTCTTGTCTAGGTTTTTAAACTTTGGAAGTTGATAGTTCCTCACATGTTATTTCTGCTATGGAAAAGAAACCAAAAAAAAACCCCTTCCTACAAAACAAACAAAACCCCTAAAAATTCTCTTTAGACTAGTCCTGCAGCTGTAACTTGCATTATAGATGTTAAAGTTTGCTTTCAGGTAACTGAGTCTGTAAGGTTGTGTAGCATGGAGTTCTCTATAAATGTACCTGTGGGTCATCATTTGAACTAACTTAGGGGTTACTGAAGAGGGTACTTAGATTTATCTTTGAATATATCACAAAGCATTGTAGTTATTAGTTTTTCCTGGTCTTTGCAGTACTGCAGTACACATGTTGAAACTGTATTTCAGAGGGAACTGAAGCAGCACTGGGCTTGCTCCATGCTATCCATCTATGTGAACATGAGAGAAAGTGCAGTGTAAGCACTTATGATCCTATAGGACAAAAGGTTCTGGTTTTTGGAAACAATGTGTTGTGCACCCATGTGTGAATTCATGTGTACATTAACAATCTCAGTCTGATTACTAGGAAGCAAATGTCTCCCTGATCCCTGTTGGCAGTTTGGTGGATCAAGTTAACGACCACAAAGTGTAGCAGTGGGAGACACTCATAAGCAAAACTTCAACTTGAAGTTTTCCAGTGATGAGAAAGAGAGGCTTTAACAGTAAATCTAAAGAACCAAAGGCTTACTTGTTTTTGAAACTTGAAAAAATGAACCAATGAAAAAAATCCACCCCAACCTCACAAAATAACCCTCTTCAAATATGTTTAATACTGAACTTACTCCTGTGTAGTCATGGTATTGACTGTTTGTTACAGCTGTGAATTCAATGTTTAACATTTTTGTAGAGTTAATACTTGTCCTTTTATGAAGTGTGGGTACAGGAAAAATGGGCAAAACTTTAGAGGCATTTTTTAGTTTAGGGGTAATATAAATATTTTGATTGTTAGAAATAACTTATTCTTGTAGTTGCCGATAGTGTTGTGTTGGATCCAAGGATTGCAGCGTGGCTCATAAACCCCAGCGACACAGTTCCTTCCTTTGAATCTTTAATACAGAAGTATTTTGAAAAGCCTTTCTCAAAGGGAGCAGAAAATACAGATACAGGCACTTTGAGAAATGCATCTGTAAGTAGTTAGTTTTTAGTTGTTTGTGGTTGGGTTGAAAGGGAAAGGAAATGATAAAAGAATTGCTTTTGCCTACAAAGTGTTGCATGAAAAGATAGATAATGCTTTTCTAATGGGAGAAAATTATTCTATTAATACTATTTGTTGGAAATCTAAAGAAAGGGAAGAAGTGAAGGTTCCACTGCATTCTACCAAGATGGGATCTCATTCTCCAGGGACAGCTGTGAAATTTTCTTTCAAAACCGTAATGTTCAGTAACAATATTAATGTATAATCTTATCTTTTTTCTTTCCACTTCCCTGCAAAATGATTTCCAACTCTCCTTTCCAAAGTGTCTGATGCTGCCTTTTCCAGTTCCTGTGAACTTGTAGACTATATTTAGTTGATTATTATTAAAATTTTGCTAAATTTCACAGCTGATAAAGACACCACACCATAGGCTGAGGAATAGCAGAAGTCAAATGTGAACTTCCAAGCATGTGAATGAAAAGATCTGAATTTTTCTTCTCTTATTACGAGAGAATGTGTGATAAACTTTTTGAGATGTTATCCCCAGCACTATAGAAATTTCTTCCTATATCCTGTTGAATATCTTCCTATATTCCTGTTGAAATATATTGACTGAATTTTATAAAATTTTTATATCTGTGTTTTGGGCCATGGTGATCTACTGTGGCCTTCAGAAGTTGTTTGAATGATAAGATGATGTGCAGCAACCTAAATGATTTTTTTTTTTTTTGAAACTGTTCACTTTTCTGAGGCCTTGGTTGTCCAGACCAAATATTGCAGCATGATTGTAGGACTTCTGTGATACAAGTCCCCAAATGTCAAGTGGGCTCAGAGCACGGACAGAGGTCGTTGTATCGGCACGTACCTGTTAGTATGGACATTTCTGAGAAAACCAGAGCCAGTTTGCTTAAAACACTGGCTGTAAACTGCAGTTCTTCAGAAGCTACTTCATGCATTGAGCTATTAGTGTAGGGAATGGACAGGCAAACAGGCAGAAACTATAAACTTGTTGGTTATTTCTATATGTCATGGCCCTCCTGTGAGTCAGCATCCTTAGTCTTGTCTCTTTCCTTAGCTTGACTCAATCTTTTGTTCTTCATATATCACATCTGTTCTTAGTTATCATTTCTCAACTTTGTCATCCTGATTCCCAACTCTGAATTAAATACTGAAATAATATTTCCTTCCTGTCTTGCTTCAGGTCTAGTTTGTTTCCTTGCCCCAACCTTTTTGCTGACTTGTTCACTCAAGTCCAAGTTAATGCCTCCTTGCAACATCCTGTGATTATTCCCCCCCCATTCTTTATTCCTTAATTTGTTACCTGGACTCTCACACTTCCTTTTTGGCTCTTCTGTTTGCTCAGTGAGTCCCAGTTCCTCCTGTGAATCCTGGCTCTTAGCCAGATTTATCTCTTCAGCCTTCTTGCTCTGTCCTTGCTGGCAGGTTCCTAACAGGTGTCTGTACTCCCAGAGGGATCTGTGATAAGTGATACATCATGTCTCATCCCCCACTAATTCAGAGAAGCTCCCTCTGTATTGTCCTAATCTTGTCTGCCCACCATAGTCCTTGGAATGACTGCTGGTTTATTCTGTAGCTCACTACTCACCCACACACCTTCAGCACAGAAGATGTGCTGCTTGTCTACGTATTTGTTGCTGTGCCAAAGGGATCATGGTCCATATTCCCTGAAACCTTTGCTGGAACAGGTGCTAAACATCTTGCAGTTTGTGTCATTGCTGCATTTGCTGATGAGCATTGTTGGTGTCAATTGAAGCCTGTCACTGGGCACTTTCCCGCCTCCAGAAAGGGATCAAGCAAACTGTCTGTATTTTCCAGACATCCTGTTTGTTCTGGATCGGGTTGGCAAGGACGAGGTTTCTTGGAGACAGGTTGATGACTTTCACTGCAGTGTGGGCCTGCTTAAATTAGTCTGTCTGGGGTAGAGAGAAGTCCTCACTCATAGGACTAGACTGTGTAGTGTGTTGACCCCGACTGGACACCAGGTACCCACTAAAGCCAATCTCTCACTCTGCTCTGCAACTGGACAGAGGAGAGAAAATATGAGGAAGGGTTCATGAGTTGAGGTAGGAACCGGGAGAGATCACTCACTAAACACCATCATGGGCAAAATAGACTCAAAGTGGGGATATTAATTAAATTTGTTACTAACAGAATCAGAGCAGGAGAATGAGAAGTAAAATAAATCTTAAAAACACCTTCCCTCACCCTTCCCTCCTTCCTTCACAAGTTCTGTCTCCTCCACCCCAGCAGTGCAGGGAGACGGGAATGGGGGTTACCGTGAGTTCCTCATAGGTTGATTTCTGCCACTGCTCAGGGCAAGGAGTCCTTCCCCTGCTCCCTCTGGGAGACAGTCCTTCATGAACTTCTCCAGCATGAGTCCAGTTCTTCACAAACTGCTGTAATGTGTGTTCTTGGAGCCAACAGTCATAATCTCAGTGTCTCTATGCATTTCAAAATGGTATCCTAGCCACCTGAAGGAGGTGGCATGGCTCTGTGTGGAACAGAAGGGAAGGAAGTGAACAGTTCTGGCACAGAAAAGTGATAGTTCTTATATGAGAAAGAAAACTGCAAGGAGTTTTTCCTCATTTTACAAGTAGTAATAGAACTCTGACTTCAATATCAAAGGCAGTTTGATACTATTTCTCTGTGATCTGTGCAAAATGTACATGAAGGAACAGATAAAATCTGGAATGTTCATGTAGTTCTGTGTTCATGAATTGGGTTTGTCAGAGGTCTAAAAACATTTCTAAAAAGTTAATGTAACAGGAGACATACAGAAAAACAGGAAAACTTATTTTTTACAATTTGATACCTTTTAAAAAAGATAAAAAATATAGAACTCTAAATACTTTCATTTTAACAGTAAAATTATTGTTTTATTTTTTATTTATTTATATCAGTATCAAAACTTAGGTGTGAACTTGGAGAAGCTTTATAATGTAATGATGGACCTTGCTTGTGACTTAAAGGTAAGATACAAAAAGAAGTTGTTCAGAAATAATTTTGGAAGTATTATCAGGAATTAAAGAGAGTCATGTATTTCTCATTCGAATTAGAATCTAGTTAAATAGAGTGCTTCAGTCCATACTGGTTTACTTTGACAGTCAACATTTAAAATAAATTACCCATTGAATTTTCCATTTTTTCTAGAAGGAGGAAATAGTCTCAATCTTTAGAAGAACCTTTTCCTCTGCAACAGTTAACTGAATTATCTAAATGAAGATTCTGAGAACAGGAAAGGTTCAGAATATTGTGACTTTTCTTTTGGTATTTGAAATCTGTATGTTACAGGCTAAAAAGTGTTAACAGAGGAACAACATAATATAGCTGTTTTTTCCTATGTATTCCTTGAGTACAAAATCTCAGCATATCTTTTGCTCTAGGCTGTGTTAACCAAACACTGGTCAAACTCTGAACAGGCTTCCCAGCAAGGTGGTTGATGCCCCAGGGCTGTTGGTGTTTAGGAGGCATTTGGACAGTGCCCTTAAGAACATGCTTTAAATTTTAGTCAACCCCCAATTGATCAGGCAGTGGGAGGTCATTGTAGGTCCCTCCCAAATGAACTGTTTTATTGTGTTTTACCCCTTATTGCAGTTCAGGATGCATCTCAAAAACTCTTTTAGTGGTTTGGGGTTTTTTTTGTGCCTGTAATCACATACCTGGAAAAGTGTAAGAATATGTAGGATATGCTCAGGTGGAAGGTACATCATAGCTCCCTAGGGGTTTTCTTTGAAGTTGATGGTAGCAAGTGTAGGGCTTAGACCACTAGTTGATGGAGCCATAGTAATCTGGATATCCAGATTAATGACCCAGCAGTGTGACAAACAATCAGTGAAACAAGGCAGCCAGGAAACACAAAAGGTGCAGAAACACAGATCCAGCCTACAGGAGGAGTTTTTAGACAAGTCTTGCTCAGTGGTTAGAGAGAAAACAGACTTCCTGTTCTCTGTAACTAATTTGTAGATAATCCTATCATCTCTTTATTTTCTTCCTAATGAAAACAAAGTTATGAATTATGAATGGTTGCTTAATTGTTCAAGTGAATAAATAAAAAGGGATAACCGTGTGTCCTATTATAATGAGGCTTGCTCTAAAAATAAACAGTTTGGGAAAATTATTTTTTTAATATCTTTATTAGTATTCCTCTACTATTTCAAAATGTATTACTATTCTCCACAGAAAGAAGTGATATGACATTTAGATATTATAATTTACAATAAGTAGTATTTTCATGCCACAGTGTTGTCATATAAAAAGGGAATATACAGAAGGTGAAATACTGCTCACTGGAAAATAGATGCACCTAATGACACTACCATATGTTTTAAGATCAAAATTAGCTGGTACTGACAAATGTATTTATACCTTGCTTTACAGGCTCAAAGTTTGTGGAACTTATTTTGCACATTGGAGCTTCCACTTATCAAAATTCTGGCAGGTATGAAAGTTCAGTTCAAAATAAGAATCTTCACTATTTTCACACAGCTGCTGACTGTGCTGAAGTGGAATGTAATACATCAGAATATGAAATGTTTTCTTAGCCTCATGACAGCTGTGTGAGTTTGAGATTCCATTTCTAAGAAGTATGTAAGACTGAAATTGTTAATTGTAAATGTTCTCAGTGTATAATTGTATTTACAGTGATGGAAACACACAAAATATATGTGAACAAACAAGAACTGAAAAAAACATCTGAGATTCTGGGGGTAAATTTTGTATTTATTTTTTTCTTTTTTAAACTGTATAGCATCATCTTTGTGCTTTTACTGAGGATAGCTTATTAAAAAGAGAAGGAACCTTTGTCACTTTTAATCTAGCAGTTTGGGGGTTTAGTATTTTTATTATTATAAATATAACTAAGAGACATTTACATTTTAGGATATTTCCCTTTTTTATTTAGGAGAGTAAAAAAGAGATATTTGCTTCATTAACCTTGCCCCAGAACTGAAATTGCTTTGCAAATTGTACAGGTCCTTTTGGGTTATACGTTGTAGATTAAAAATGGTAATGAATCTTTCTGAACCTAGTTTTCAGTAGCCACTTTCCTGAGAATTGGCTCTCAGTGCCTCTCTTTGTAAACAATACAATCTTTACAACTTACATGTTCTTTGATAAAAACAACCACAAGAGAATCCCATTTTGTAGCATAAAATCTAACTAGATTATCATAGATTACTAATTTATCAGAATAATTTCCATAACTCTTTTTCTCACAGATCTCTATAGTCTTCAGTAATCTAAATTCTTTTCCCACAAATGTTAGTGGCTTTTACTGCAGTAAATCCCATTCCCAGGTCATGAAGAACTGTAGATTAAAGAGTATGTAAGCAGTCTGCTAAAGTAAATGTTGATAACCAGTCAGCAATGATTACATAATATCAAGTTCTCCATTTTTAAATAAAAGTCTAATATCCTCATTAACCTAGGAATTAGCAGATATTGAAGAAAATAATAATGTAAACAGAATAATTCTGATGTACTAATTTATAGTTGCGGCTCAAGGAGCTTGAACAGGAAGCTCATCAAGTTGCTGGAGAACAGTTCCTGTTGACCAGCAGTTATCAACTCCGAGAGGTAATATTTGCACTCCTGTATTTATGTAAGGTGCACATTCTGTAAATTGTTATTGATACAGAAGAACTGTAAAGCATATATGTCCTTACAACTTCTGAATTCTTTTCTTCTATATTAATTGTCTTACTTTCTGATCTTAATGAGGAACACATAGTTTTTCATAAATCAGACAATGCTGGATGATCTGTGTTTGAATTAGGCATTTGTTTTTAGTAAATACATTACATTACTGTTTCAATAGCTCAGAAATAAAGATCTGGTCTTTTCAATTCTGTGTTAGTTCTCTTTGCTACAGTATGCTCTATTTACTATGAAACATGTATTCTAGACTAAAGTTCAAGCACCAAATAATTATCCTTTCTATTTCAGCACTTGAAACACTGAAACATTTGTTACGTGTTTTTCTAACTGTAGGTACTATTTGATAAGTTAAAGCTGCATACCCTGTGTGAGAAACTTCACAGAACTGAAATACAGCAACTTGTGTCCACCTCAGAAGCTGTGGTGAGATGGGGAGGGGTTTTAAAACCAGTTGCATGATTTAGCAAAACTTCTAAGTTATATTCCAGTGAAATTGTGATTTACCTAAAGTTTTCCTAACGATCTTGATTTATTTTTGTATTGTTCTAATTATACTTTGCATAATTATGGCAGAAAAGAAAGATGCACTTTATGATGGGGAAAAACACACTAGCTACTGAAGCTAAACTTCAGCTATAAACCAGGGTTAAAAGCTTTAATACCAAAATGCCTGCATGACCATCTTCTTCAAAGGAGAGATACTTTCTTACTGGTCAGATTTTGGTAGCTCAGAATGACTGACTGGCTGAGTGACACAGACCACGGGTCAAAGAAAAGAGCATTAATGTAAAATCTACTGTCAAAGGAAATAGCACCCCAGACTTCCTCTTTGCCATCAGGAGATTTGGGCTAAAACCATATTGTCATCTTTTTATGGACCCTTAACTCACTCATTAATTTCTGTAGGAAATTACTTGATACCTGTGGTTTGAATTGAAAGTTACCACTTTCTTTGTATGAGTTCAGTGTTTTACTTGTGTGCATCAGTTTTCCTCAGTCTAATGTTTTTTGTTCCCTCTGTGGAGAGGCTTCCCTTCAGTAAAAATGGTTGTATTTGGAATTAGATCTGCAGGATCTTGTTCCCTAACAGAAGTTATGAGCAAACAGTTTAGATACTTGATACACCTGTACAAGAGATCAAATGTATCTTTAGATTCAGTGTAAAAAATATCATGCATATGAAGCTCCTTTAGTTCTTTCTTTTGTTAATGTTGGAGCAGATAATTTTCAGCAATACCGATGTTCGTGGATGATCCCACACAAGTGCAGAAATCTGTCAAAAACATTTGTTTAAAAATGAAATCAAGACCAAATTGCAGACTTCTTGGTAACTTTAGGCAAATGTGGATGCACCTTTCTTTTCATAGAATTATTTAGGTTGGAAACAACCTTTCAGATCATTGAGTCCCACTGTTAACCAAATACTACCAAGTCCAGTCACTGCTAAACCATGTCCCCAAGTGCCACATCTATATGTCTTTTAAATCCCTCCAGGGATGGTGACTCTACCACTTCCCTGGGCAGCCTGTTTCAGTGTTTGACAACCCTTTTGGTGAAGAAATTTTTTCTAATATCCAATCTAACCCTCCCCTGGTGCAACTGGAGGCCATTTCCTCTTGTCCTGTCGCTTGTTACTTGGGAGAAGAGGCTGACCCCCACCTGGCTACAACCTCCTGTCAGGTAGTTGTGGGAGACCAACAAGATCTCCCCTGAGCCTCCTTTTCTCTAGGCAAAACACCCCCAGCTCCCTCAGCTGCTCCTCATGAGACTTGTGCTCCAGACCCTTCCTCAGCTTTGTTGCCCTTCTCTGGACTTGCTCCAGTGCCTCAATGTCTTTCTTGTCATGAGGGGACCAAAACTAAACACAAGATTCGAGGTGTGGCCTCACCAGTGCCCAGCACAGGGGCACAATCACTGCCCTGGTCCCGCTGGCCGCACTATTCCTGATGCAGGCCAGGATGCCATTGGCCTTCTTGGCCACCTGGGCACACACACTGGCTCATGTTCAGCCACTGTCAATCAGCACCTCCAGGTCTCTTCCACTGGGCAGTTTTCGAGGCACTTGCCCCCAGCCTGTAGCACTGCAGGGGGTTTTTGTGACCCCAGGGCAGGACCCGGCACTTGGCCTTGCTGAACCTCAGACCACTGACCTTGGCCCCCTGATCCATCCTGTCCAGATCCCTCTGCAGAGCCTTTTTGCCTTCCAGCAGATCAACTCTTCCATCCAGTTTGGTGTCATCTGCACACTGACTGAGGGTCCACTCAGTCCCCTTGTACATATCATTACAAGATCATTTTGTTAAGATAATAATAGCAATGGAATTCCTTCTTGGAACAATAGAAGCCTCTGTCCAGCTGCACCTGTTTCTGATTTGCTGCCACAATTGTATTGCTGTAGTTTACATGGGAGTCAAAGTTCTGGAGAACATTTCTGGGGAAGGTAAAAAGGTAACATTTGTTTCTAAAGGAAGAAATTCCTTTAGAACCACTTTTCAACCAAGTGTCTGAACTACCATATATGATCTCAGGTAATGTCAACAGTATAACCATGAAACCCCCACACTACTCAACAAGAAGGAGGTTTCATAGATCTAATATGTAATTTTGTAGAGTGACACAGAGAGCCTTGGGAGATGGGAGGGACCAGTGAAATAGAATGCATGTCACCTTTTTGTTGGAACATAAGATTTATTGTTGTAATCAAAGCAATAGGAGTGCTAGTCCAGTATTCTCTTTCCAATAACTGCCAAGACTTGGTTAGAGAAAGGTAGGCTGAAACCTTCCAGTAGATAAATACCAGAGTTACTCTTAATATCTTGGGTCTCCCTGGTAGCAAGAAAAAAACCTTATGCTTTTAAATGTACATTCTGGTACAGTTGCATCTGTTTCTCATCCTGGACTATTGTAGTTCCAGATATTTTTTGTTGTACTTATAAATATCCAGTCTCTATTTTAATAATTTCATTCTTTTTCTTGACAGATTTTTTTTGTGGTTTCCAGTAAAAGTGATCAGAAATATACTTTATTTTATTGCTTTGGGATTTGATAATTTCAATTTCATAGAATCATAGAATCAATTGGGTTGGAAAAGACCTCCGAGATCATCGAGTCCAACCCTTGGTCCAATTTCTCTTGAAGTTTTCCTGGAACTTTTATTAGGGGATGAACAGGAGAAATTCTCCAGCTGTGTTGTGTGTGTGTGTATGTATTATTTTTTATACTTTTATCCTGTTGTCTCTTGCTTTGATGCTGCATAGCACAAAAAATAAACAAAGAACCGTAAGTAACGCACACACATCATACCCCAGTGTTTTCAAAGTTTTTGTCAAGAAGTTTTTATGTCTGCATGGGTTTTTGTCTCTATCTGGGACAAAAAGGAAAATGAAATGGGAAGGAGTCATCTCCAGCCTTCCTAATGAAGGCAGGAAGGAATGAAGGCTTCCTTGGGCCTGGAATGGGATTGCTTAAAGGACATCATTCTTTAGCCAATATTTTGTCCATTCAGCTTGTCAAGAAAATTTCTTGCTCCAAAATGCATTCTGTTAAGGTTTGTTTAATAATGTAACTTAACAGGAAAGTATACTAGTAATTTACATTCTTGATTTTGCAGCTAAATAAATTGCAAGATCTTCATCCTTTGCCTAAGATAATTTTAGAGTACCGTCAGGTGAGCTGATCTTTTTCACATAATGTAGTGACATTGAAGCACAATTAGCAAGAAAGAGAACATATTCATAAAATAATTGGAAAACTGCAATGTGAAAGTTGTCTAGTGCTGTAAAGCACACTCTTAGGGCAAAACATTTTTTTTTTGAGTTCTGAAGAAATACTTTGCATAAAGTGAAGGAGATAACTAGTTATGGGGGATTTTTGGGTGACAAGCCTCCTGAAAATCCAAAACGGTCTAGTTAGTCTGTTCTCACACTTAACATTTGGGTTTTGAGTGGGTTTTCAGTTGGGTTTTCTTTAATTCCAAGAATTAAAAGAACCAAACCAAACAAGAAAGTGTGGGTTTATGAATGGTTTTGATTTTTGGTTTTGTTTGGAGGTTTAGTATGTGGCTTTTTTGTGTAATTTATCGACCTAGAGACGTAAGATGAAAAATGATCAATTCCAATAGTTCATTTCCTAGTATCTGCAAAGTCCTGGCTTTAGGTTATAACTGAGCACTTACCTAACTTATGCTAATAGGTTAAGCTATTTAGAGAGTATAAAGCCATTATTTACTAAGATAAAACTGACTTTAAAAAAAAAGTCTACAAAACTAGTTCATATTCATTTGGAAAGTAAGATCTTTAATTTAAAAATTCTCTTGTTATTATAAGTAAGCATTTATTTTGATATTTATGTATTTTAGGTTCATAAGATGAAATCAACTTATGTGGATGGATTACGAACGTGCATGAGAAAGGTAGAAATATATAAAGTAGCTTGTAAAATCCTAAAGGATTGCAGTGTTTACAGTTTAAGAACTTTTATATATGGAAAATTATAAAGTTCAAAAGAACTTTTGGGTTTATAGCTCTGATTGCAGTGCATTTTTATTACTGGTACTTATGTTAAATAAAATTTAACTCTGTGTCTTCATAATTTTCCTTTTTTATTAATTTTTTTACTTTACTTGATTACAGGGATTTATTTCCTCTACGTGGAATCAGACAGGAACTGTGACTGGCAGACTTTCAGCCAAACATCCTGTAAGTGACCCTACTGGAAGATTTACATTTAATTGAAATGAAAAATTAATGTAATATTTTTAACATAAGAAATATTTGTTTTCATGCAAGTCTAGCAGTTGCTGTATTGTGTCTAAATGGTGGACAGAAAAAGCATGTTAAATGGGTGTTTTACTCTAGAACATTTGTTCTTAGGAATACTTTCTGTTATCTGTGCATCAGAATAAAGATTATTACCTGAAGTAGAGAGGTACAATTGTGGGCTGTGCATGTACCCTCTGGACTTCCACTGAATACTTCTTTGTAATGGATTCCTGGTGTTCATGAGCCACTTGTAAAGGATCAGTGAGGCCTGGAAGGTGGGTATTACAGAAAAGAAGGAAGTTCTTTTCTTCTGTAGTTTAGGTTCAGGCCTCATAGCAGCACAGGGCTAAGCTGGCAGTGCTGGTATTCTGGAGGTCTTGCTTGTATGTATGGCTGTGACACGTGGGCTCTTTGTGCTTCCTCTCTTGGCTCTGGTTGTAATGATCTCCATGTACATGCTTGTACCTGAAACATGTTTTATTTGGCTTTCTGGAGTGCTACAGGTTTGGATTTTCTTTTTTCTCTATTTTTTTTTTTTAACCAAAGGGCATATTTTAATGTTTTCTATGATCCTGTTTCTCTGGGAGTTTGGGAAGCATTCTGACCTTTGGCTGTACAGACTGCTGAGGTCTTGGCATTCCCACTCTGTCACAGGGTATGGCTGCATGGATCAGAGAGCAGGACCTGGTGTGGGAGGAGACAGGGCTGCTGAGCTTCAAGGGCCCAAGCCAAGGCTTAGGTGCAGGAATAAACAGAAAAGTAGTGACTGCCTGCCTGGGAATATTTTCTGTTTGGTTTAATCATGGCTTTTCTTAGCAAAGACCTGGCTCTGGCCCTGTGGGGGAAGGGGAATAGATGCAGAGATGGGACTTGACTCATGAAGGCCAGGGGGAATCCATGAGACCATTGTCCTTTTAACTTGTGCTCCAAAGTATTGTCAGTTCTTATCCATGCAGGTTTGGGTACTGTGTATATGTCTGTGCATGTCCCAACCTTAAGCTTCTTGGGTACAAATGGCCTTAGGAGCTTTCTACAATCTTGAGAGAAAGGCCATGGTCTTCCCCAGCTCTGTGTGGGAGCAGTTGGACACGTTACTTTTGTTGTGACCACTTGGCATGGGTGGGTTCATGAGGCTCCTGGCAAACCCTGCCTGGAATAGTGACTTTGGAGTTCTGACAGAAACCTGTCCTGGGAGGTTCTCACCCTCACCATACTGGTGACTTCCTTAACTCTTCTTTCACCTACCTTCACAGCTCAGGTTTCATTTATATCTTCCTACCCTCAGGGTGCATATTTCCGTACAATTTGTCATCAAACAATTTTTAGGAAGTGCTTGTGCTTTTTGCTGAGTAAAAAAACAGTGTTTAGGATTCTGAATTAACAACAGAGTGGAGAAGTGTTACTGCTGCTCTTGAATTCATGTACCCAGATGGGAGACAGTGATGGGAGAGAACGGAAATGATGATCATGAGGGTCCCAGTTTGCTGAATTCTGTGATGTGGTGCACGGGCATTTCTGAGTCAGAGCTGAACAGACAGCTGTCTTGAACAACCACATACAATATAGAGTGACCTTTGGCCCATCATGGTAAAAATGACCTGAAAGCTATTTTTCTTAAAAGTTGTTTTTCTCTGAAATAATGCTGCTAAAGTTAACATCCAGGGTTGCCTAAGGCTGGCTTTTCCTTTTAAGGAAAAACATTGGCATGGCTTTTTTTGTTTGAAATGTTTCTGGAACTTATACCATCTGTTTCTGAATCATTTATTGATATAGAAAATATACTGCAGTGCCCAGTCACTTTGCTAAGTGTTAAAGGATTGGGAAGGTTCTTGCTAGAAATCATAAATATTGAAGATATTTTTGCAGTTACTATGATATTGTGTCAAGTTTTGGCTGAATATTTGCTGAGGTAGTTTATTTTTAACTGTTTTAAAATGCTTTAAGAAGTGATTAAAGCAAAAGCTAAGTGTGAATCAGATACACTGAGAATTCAAACAGAAAAAACATCCCATTTGCTGCGGAGGCTGTGAGAGAGAAGGTTCCAAAAAAAGATTTCTTTATCTTTCTTTTCTTTTGTAAAGATAGTGAATCTATCTGTCCGCTTTCCTTTAAGGCATTCAATGGAGTCCAGGAAAGATTTACTTACAGGTTTAAGGGGAAATGACTAGACATTAGGTACAGAGCAGGATTTCTTTTTCAGATACTCTACTGTGATCTTTCAGGCAGATCCACATCTGATGTATGGATGATGTATATTTTTGGCTTTATGTGGGTTTTTCTCGATAGATAAGTTTATTCACATGAATTTTTATGACTTTTGTGTTGTAGCAACTTAGAGGGGCTTTCTTAGCAGAACTTCACTGCAGTGGCTTTCCATGTATTCATCTATTTTAGTTTAACTGTGCACTCCCTTTCTTCTCGTTTGGTTTCTTCTTCTACAATATATGTAGTGTGTAAATAATACATTTTTCACAAATAACAAAGTGTTATTGTAGTATGTTTTTGAGTAGGGACACATTTGATACTGTAGTCTCCTGCCTATAGCGTTGTAATTCTCTATTTGCTACTCCATGGAACCTGAGTATCTGAAAGTAAATATAAACCCTAAAATTCTTCAGTCAAATAATTTTGTAACATATCCATAGGCTAGTTATTTTTTCCACTCCATGATGGATTGCTTATGACTATTAGGGAAATTTAATTAGGTTTATTGTTTGAATATGTTATTTTAAATTACTTTTTGTATAAATATACTAGTCTTGTCTACATTAGGATACTCCTTTATTGTATTGCTCATAGATAACTTTCCTATAAAATATATTGATGATATTCATAAAAGCTTGTTTATGTTCTCCAAACCCATGTTGAAAACCTCTTTCGAGCCTCTCATGTTTTAAAGCAAAAATAAGACAGAAGTGGAAGAGCATAAAGCCAATTAAGATCGAACTTCTTTCCGAATGAACAGAGAGAAATCCTAATTTGAGATATAAAGATTGCATAAAATTGGATGTTATAATTTGGTTTAAGATGTAAACTTCAGTGCTAGAATCAGATATTCTGTATTAAGATTTCTTTCCTCCAGGCTTCTGCAGCAGAGAGAACTGAAATGCTGCTAATGAGTTTATGCGTCTCTACTTCAGAAGCTGTTTGTATCATTGAACTAAAATGCATAAAGTGGTGGGCTTCAGGGGGCATTTCCTTCCTTTTGGTAACAAAAAGTTATGCTGAAGATAAAATTTTTTACCTTCTTGGAACAAGTGGAAAAAAATAAAAAAGCAGTCCTATTTAGCCCCAGGAAAAATGATTTACAGCTTGTCCAAAAAGGCAAAGAAATAAAATAATCTACCTGTCAGTCAAAGAAACATGTTAGCCTTTAATTTGGAAAGCAGAAATGTAATTTGAAGGGGAATATTGAATGTTACAAGCTTAAAGAAGGATCATAAAGTACCTGAAATATTGACTATGTCTCAGTTTCCTCAACAGACATGAATAAGATTTTCTGGTAGGGAATTCATGATAGAGAATTGCATTCTGGTTTATTAGAAAATGTGTGTTGTAGATAGTGTTTGGAACATAAATAATAAATTACCCATCTGGTTTTCATTCTAACGGGAAAGACAATGTCTGGAAGTAGAGACCCCTCTGAGCAATTGCCTCAAAAATTACTCTTCTGTCAGTTGACTTAGCAAACCAGTATTCCTGGTTATCCATACTATATCTGTGTTACTTCCCTTCTGGGTTGGTTTTTGGAGTGAATGGACTAATTTTCTCTAAGATGAAACAGAAATGTAGTTTTGGCATAGTTTTGGGATCGTTTCTGGGCAGTGTGGATGAGATGCTGCCTGTTTGTCTCTCTGTCATGGCACTATCTCAGTAGGTTTTACATCCTTAGCATACCCATGTGTGCAGTCCTAGCAGGGTGGGTTGACAGAATCATGTTACCAAAACTATTGTGACAACTCTCAACCTTCAGGCATTTTGTCCAAGGCCTCATTAAAGCTACAGGCTGATCTGTGATGCTACAAATACTCTTTCTGAAAGTTTGAAGTCTGTAGTCGCAATTGGATTCCAACAGAAACAGGATGTTCTGTGTCTTAATAGTGATGAGGAAATTTGCAGTGTCCCATTTTTCCACTGTCCCTTTCCTTCACAGCTTTTAGGAAGTTTGGCAGAGCTGATGCAATGTGAGGAGCCGGACACAAGTCTGGGAGCAAGGATGTAATTGCATCTTTGTTTTTTTTTCCCCAGAAGTGAACCAATAACTTGTCTGCTTTTGAAGCTGTGCTGTTAGGAACATAATTTTTGTAAACTTCTTTTCATGCACCACCCAACTGAAAAAAATGTTTAATTGGATAGACAGTGTGGGTCTTGCAATTGCATCGATATCAGAGTGTGTTTTGTTTTTTTCTTTCTTTTTCCTTTTTTTTTTTTGAGTGTATTTGTGGTAAAGCACTGGGGATAGAGACACATAAGACACATGACAGGTTCATATAAAACATCTTGTCAAAAGTCTTCTATAAGGTCACCTAGGCTAACAAAATAATTTTTACCTAAGTATGCTTTTACCTAAGCATGGGCTTCACTAAAATAGTGGTAGGTTGTCTTAACAGACATAAGAATGTCTGTGTTTTCTTGGTTCCTTGAGTCAAAGCAATTTAGTGTTGTATTTTCTAGCCAGTACAAACCACTGTCGCTCAGAGGAGCTGATGTGCTCTTAGAGAGAGCTGGAGTGCACATCCTGTTTGTTGTGGTTGTCAGTGTTCTCCCAGCATCTCTTGCATCCAGAACATATTTTTGTACCATGTTTCTTTTTGATAGATTTATTCCAATACTCTTGAGTCACATGGTGATTATGACTGCACTGATAGCACTAAAATAGTATCTCATTTTATGAGTAGAGTTTTGATATTTTTGCAGTCTCTTTTGTTGCTTTATTT